GCCCAGTATGGAGCGGCCATATAATTTGATATCCCTTGGTGGTACGTCAATTGAGACTTGACAAGAAGCTGGGAGCAGTCAGTGTGATAAATTTATGGCTGGATACAGTTTGTTCAAACCCAAAACTTTTGTTGTTGTTGTTGTTTTTTTCAGGTGGAACGGTAACAGCATTTGCATTAACAACATGCACTGCTGCTTCAATAAGAGAAACGGATGACCCAACAAACTGGGCAATAGGTGGTGCTGCAAGTGCAGTGTTTATGGGACTGGCTAGTAAGTTGCCTCTGCAATCTCATGCTAGTGGTATAATGTTAAGACAGTGTAGTGTATACAGTTTCTGAACATCTAGTACATCTAAAACACTAATCAGGGCTTTCATTAAGTTTGAATTCACCTGTAGCCTTGATCTTCACAGCCGTAGCAAACTTGCTACTTTATGGGTAAACTGTATCAACTACAGGCCAGTTCACCTGTAACATCAAGGGTCCATCAAACATACTCAGCTGTAATTAACAGCCCTGCTAATTCTTTTAGCACCATGCTTTGTTCACTGTTGTTAAAATGCATCTACAGAGTACATGTACATTTATAGGTATGCAGAAAAATAAAGCATTTAATAGAGAAGCAGAAAAGCAGAGATAAAGCTGTAAACACTGATTTCAGTTCCTCTCCAAGAAGGGAGTTTGGGAGAGGAGCGCGGGCTCTTTTCTGAAACAGCAGCTGGTAATCAAGCCTATTAGAAAAAGTGTCAAACTCATTCAAACAGGCACTTAGTTCAACTACTTTAAAATCGCCCTCCCCAACCCCACACCCCTTCAGTCCTGCTTCTAAGACTCGGATTTACTGAAGGAAAAAATGTTCCCACGTTGCCCTATACAGCCAATCTTTCCTTAACGTATGGTCCTCACAGAAGAGTGTACTTCAAAATGTAATAGGCAGTGAATTATGTCTTATCAGAGGAACACTCTTGTAATGTACCCTTCATTAGAGTTGATTCTTGTCAGCTCATTTGCAAATGTTTATTTTACAATATTTCCCTTGAATAGCAGTTATAGAGGGTCGCACAGGGGTGGGGGGTCTCTGGCACGGTTCACGAACGGAAAAAATAAAGGATCACAGACATAAAAAATTCGTTTTCCCGAATCACGAAAATAAGCAAGTAAGATCCTTTTTTAATGACCTGTTCTTACACTAGAAAGAGTGTTTGAAGAAAGCAAAATAGCGTTAAGGCTCCATATTGCAAAGCCGGTCACTCTCGATAGACGACTCTAACCATTCGGAGGACTTGCGTCTCAAAATCATGTAGAATAGAGTGGTAAAATCACGAATATCGGTTAATAATTCAGGTTCTTCACGGGTCACGCAAAACCTTCAGGTCACGGATCACGAAGAATAATTTCCTAAATTCAAGTTTCACTTAAAATAAAATCAGCTAATCACGCATCACGTGAATACCCCTGTACGAACCTCATTATAATAGTCAGTGGTATGTCTGAATTAATTTAGTTCATGTGTGTTTTTCCTCTTGTTTCGTTTCTAGGAAGTAGCTGGGGTATAGGGTGTATTATGACACCAATTCTGGCCGGTGCAGGAGCATTAGCTAAGTACAGTGGTGTGTACAAACATCCTTTCCCAACTGACAGAATGTACAGTTGATGAGCTATCCGGCATGACTTCATTGATCCTCTGACACAGTGTGGCACGAGTTTTGAGAATTGTTGTAAATAAAAGTTTGTTGTTGGTTGATCCTGAAGTTTAAAAAATTGTGTTGTTAAAAATCAAGAGGTAAAACACTGTCACGTTCAAGTAAGTAATGTCAGGAAGTTTCTTCAGTCTCATGATTTTGTAAACAAGGCCACCAGATTAAGAAATACTGTTCATAACGAGTTGCAGAATTTGTTAACTGTGGAAGAATAAAGAAATGTGACACTTTTCAATACCTTGAAGCATTGAAGCCTCGTGGAAAAAACTTTTGTGAATGATAACGGCGTTCGGAGCATGGGTATGGAAGTTATCCTGGACTGTCTTCTCCTGTTCAACTCCAATGTAGAGCGGGAAGGAGAGAGTCCTTCGACTGGACATGAAGGAGATGAAGGGTAACAGACTTCATCGCCCATGTAGGCCTTATTCTTAAGGTAGCTCATCTAAGCTATCTTCTGACATGGTACCCAGTTCCTCCGAGGATACTGCTTCCACGCTCGTTGTGTGATACATACTCGGTGAATGTTTTCGTGCAGGATACAAAGTCGCATAAAAACTGCTTAATAAGCTGTTATTTTTTAGACCCTCCTGGGATTTTCGAAACCAGGATCGAGTGATCTAAAAATGTATATAACTTGAGATGGATTTAACAAATAAAGAAGCCTAAGCCATGTACTACACTGTGATAAAACACGACGGGCATTTGAGAACACGAGGGAAATGTAGAAAACAAGAGCCGCAGGCGAGTGTTTTCTCCATTTCCCGAGTTTTCTCAAATGTCTGAAGTGTTTTATCACAGTGTAATACACTGGTTAGGCCTCTACATTTGCTTTGTGATATAAATTTTACACGCCGCGAGTAGAAACAACATAGCACACAGATCGACAAACTGACGCAATTTAATACCACTAAACTGCTACATCCCTCGTCTTCAAGACTTTCTGCTGCTTTGCAGAGAACTCCATCACAGATTTCTTCAAAGAAATGTTTTTCGCCATCCCTAACAAAAATGTTGACCATAGTTAATGTAGCGAAAAACCATGCAACATGCTTTTTCTCTGTTTTATACTCTGATAAAACATGGGTTTTTGACAAATCAGACCGTGCACAGGGTCCTATCTATATTTTAATACCTTAGAAATAAGGCTCGTCATCATCCATGTTCTCTCCCGTCAGTTTGCGTAAAATTCAACTTTTTTTTCACCGAAAACAAAAATTAGGGGGGCTGAACATAAACTAATTAGTATTTATTTTTCCAGTCAAAATGAATTACTCGAAGATACACGGATAATTTAACAAGAATAACTTCCTTATCAAATCTTAAGATTCTTAGTAAAACTCCGCTTTCGGCTAAACACTAAGGACACTCGAACCATGAACCCTTGATATTTTAATTGTTGCCCTTTTTGCTGATTGTAGAATGAGGGTTCTTCATATCAACAAACGTATTAGCATGTTTAATTTTAAACTAAAAATGGTGATCTTTTACATTATACGAAGAGCTCTCGTCAACCTTTGGTCAACAAGAAAAAAACGCCACCAAAAAAGATTTATCAAGTGTTCATTGCTTGAGTATCTTTACTGCAAAAAGTCTGAAGTCTTGACCATAACATGTTTGATGTGTTTCGAATCTTGAAAGTGCACTGGAGCATGCCACATTTCGAAAATCTAAAATCTTCAAACTTCGAGAGCTTGATTTGTTGTTATTGCAAGGAAAGTAGTTATAGAAATCGTTCTTGAAAAAATCAACTGACCGCCAATCCACTGACCTGGAACAAAGCGTGACTTCAACCTGTAATAGGTGATAATTACTCAACATAATTGGGCCAACAAACTGGTGTTATTCAGTTTTTAACTTACTGGCTAGCCAGGACATTTTATTTTACTGTAACAGTAAAACCTTATGAAGAGAAGAAAATTCAATCTTTTCCTTCGAGGTTGGAGTAAATTATATGTAAATAAAAACTGAAGATCAAATTGAACCACGCAGAGAGATTATTGCTTGCATGTTTGGGTGTGTCAAGTACCTGCTGAACCCAACAAGTGACAGGTGTCAAACTTAATTGATCTTAAACGAACATAATTACACTATGAGGTCACGCTTTGGGGGAGAAATCTACAAGGAAGATTGTTTCTCGCCTCATGGAACTCTGCTTGACCCGGCACGGCCACTCACTGAACAAAAATCTGCCTGCATGCTCGTCGCCCAACAGGGTCTTTTATTGTAGTACGGTTCCCATCAGAAGTCTGATTCCGAGGGAGAATACAAATATGGCTTCGGTTGTATCTGTTATTGTGGGGCTTATTATCATGGCTTGCGCTTTTGCTGGGTTGATTGTGGCTGCTGACGAATGTACTAGGCATCCCTGAGCTCTGTGATACAAAAGATTATTTACTGCTGCACTGTGCAATAACTCCAATGTTTGGACTGGTGCTGTTTTATAGAAAACTGACGAACTTGATCGAAACCAATGAACTTACGTACTACCCGCTGTTGAATAGAGCTGAAATGATTGTGAAAAGACAAGTTAATTAACAACAACAACCGACTGAAAACGTTTCAATCAGTGCTGATACAATTCTTTCGTAAAGTTAATTATAAAGGACACACACAGACTCTTGCCTTGTCTATGACAACTACAAAAGACATCTTTCACTCTGTGTATAACCGACTTGCGAGGAACGCTGGAAAATGGTCTCCTTTCTACGGACTGGCCTTGATATGTCGAATGTTTCTGACTGTGCGTTAACAGAACAATTTTTACGTCTGACACTGCTCTAACCAAGACTTATCTTAGCAAGAAATTCTAAGAAACAATCTACGGACTAAGCGTAACTTGCGACTGTACAGCGAACTAAACAGTGTGTAGGTGGAGGTCTCCAAGTATTTAGATTGTTCTAATTATAAGTAATTTTCTAACGCATATTTTGTAGCATAAAAACTAGAATGATTGAACTGGGCTGAAAAAAATAAATAGCTATCATACCTTTTCGACAACTGTTTATATCGACTTTAACTATACAGTAAGAAATAAATCAGAATGATTGGACTGGGCTGACAAAAATGAATAACTACCATACCTTTTCAACAACTGTTTACGTCGATTTTTATTATATATTCAGTTAGTACGCGTGCTGTGATTGGTATATTACGTACTCCCCTAAAATTTAAATCTGTTTTTGTTGCCAAAATGTTTCGTGATTTATCGCCAAGTGTTCTTAACTTTTAGAACAAGTAAAAGTTTAAAACCTTCTTTTACTTCTGAAATTGTGTGTTAAAACCTGCTATCGACTTGAGAGTCGCTTAACAACGATTTCAAATTGACTTGTTTTGCTTTCGAGGTGCGTCAGAAATTTGAAGCCGTTCTGTGCGAATAGAAATCGTTTCCGAACCAGCCAGACACTCAGTAGAGATATCACAAATATCTTACCAACCTCGTTTTCTCGCATGTCCGTACTGTAAGTTACGGATACTCGTTTTTCCCCCCTTCGATTTACGGCCCGCGCGCTTCGCGTTTGGGCCATAAATCGATGGGGAAAAAATTCGGTCTGTAACTTACAATGCGGCCCTCGAACTCGGTTAGCAAGTAGTCTAGTATCTTAACTCCGCCTCCTTGTTCAGAAAACGGTACAGAATTATCAGGGGTATCTTTTTCTTTAGCTAACCGACTAGTCACGGGAAATTAAAAGAAAACCTCACGTGTTACCACATACACGCCGCTGCAATGACAGACAGAAACTAGGACGATTTTCCGCAAGTGTACGTAGTCTCCCGTCCATGTAGTGATCGTGACCGACTGACGGTAATGGTGTCATGCAATCCTCATCCGCTAACGAGTATAGATTGCGTGACGGTCTTAATTACCGCATAGTAAGTAGCAAACTAAAAGTAACCCAGGCCTCTGAGCCCTCAATTGTAAGTCCTCGA